TATATTATTTGTTGCGCAAAAACTTCAAAAAGATTGTAGACTTCATGTTTTGACTCAATATTATTTCTTAGGCCTTTATTCATTATTACTATTATTATTATTAATTATTATTATTATTATTATTATATTATTATTATTAAATTTTATACAGATCTCCTGTTAAACAAGAAGCCTCAAATGAATGACCTTCTTAGGTTGTTCAAGGATTATGATGTTCATAGTAAAATTATTGGTACTGCACTTGATGTTAAAGTGAACGATCTGCTACCTCTTCCTCAGTATACCTCTGATAACCTTATACTAGTGTTCCGGAGATGGATAGACTCCAATAAAGGAGTGACCTGGAGGAAGGTACTTCAAATTTGTGAAGATTATCCGGACAAACTTGTAAAGGCAAAAGCTGATGTTGAAAGATTTCTTTCTTCCAATAGAGCATATCACAAATATAATTTACATTTAAGAGATGGTAATAATACCAAAAATTATAAATTATAATTACATGCTATATTAAGTTATTCAGTTTACATTATCTTTTTATCACTTGTAGGTGCTGAAGCTGAGGAATTTGATAAAAAAAGTAAAAAAATAAGTTTTTGTTGTATGAAATTAACTGTGTTCTTATTAATGTGATAACTGATTAATAATTATTATCATTAATTTTTGAAATAGAAAATTGGCTGAAGGAAGGTGAACTTGAGCTAAAAGTCACTGATACCGTGCATGGTGCAGGAGCTGATGGTTCACAACATCTCTTACTTAATGAGCCACAATCCCAAGAACTCACTGATAGTACACAAGAAACTGAAAGTAAAGAAAAAAGAAATAAGATTTTATTGCATTAATTGCTAACTCGTAATTAATATTCTATCACTTGTGTATAATAGGCACTGTTGCTACTGTTACTGTAACTGATGAAATGGATACAGAAAGTAAGAAATAAGATTTTATTGCATTAATTGCTTACTACTAAATATGTGATAAAAATTAAAAGATAGTGTCTTTTTTTCACAATTAATTTTAGAAATAAAAAAATGGCTTAAAGAAGGTGAAGTTAAGCTAGAGATCACTCGTATCAATATGCATGGTGCACCTGGAGCTGGTAAAACGTGTTCTCAACACCTCCTACTTAATGAGCCACCACCTGCACTGGCTGCACCTCCCAACTGGACATGGGGCCAAGTACTTCGGAAAGTACTAGAGTACTTTTTTAAGTACCACAGAACCGCTTCCACTGACAGTACACCAATAGCTTGTCCTGCTGTTAAAGCAACAAGAATATCTGTTGATGATAAAAATAAGAAGTGGGAGAGGGTTGATGAAAGAGAATTACTTAATCAGCTGGCATCTGCACAAGAGGATGAAACACCAATGTCTGAAGAATTACATGAATCACTGGAGGAACCACCCACAAATGAACCAACTGAGAATGGACCAGCTGAGAATAGACCAGCCGACAATGGATCAGCTGAAAATGGATCAGCTGAAAATGGACCAGCCAACAATGGACCAGCCGACAATGGATCAGCCGAAAACGGACCAGCCGAAAATAGACCAGCCGAGAATGAATCAGCCAAGAGTGGACCAGCTGAGGATGGATCAGCCGAGAGTGGGCCAGCTGAGAATAGATCAGCCGAGAATGGATCAGCCGAGAATGGATCAGCCAAGAATGGACCAGCCGAGAACGAATCAGCCAAGAATGGACCAGCCGAGAACGGATCAGCCGAAAATAGACCGGTCAAGAATGAATCAGCCAAGAGTGGACCAGCTGAGGATGGATCAGCCGAGAGTGGGCCAGCTGAGAATAGATCAGCCGAGAATAGATCAGCCGAGAATGGATCGGCCAAGAATGGATCAGCCGAGAGTGAATCAGCTGAGAGTGGACCAGCCAAGAATGAATCAGCCGAGACAAACTACGAAGAAATTTTTGAAAAAATATTACTTGCTGTCAACAAATCTAGCAAATTAAGCAAAAATTGGGTTTATTTTATTGATTCCGGTGGTCAACCAGCATATCGAGAGTTGCTACCTCTTTTTACAAGAGCAGCTGCACTGAATATCATCACCATTGATCTTACCAAAGGTCTTGATGAGAAGTGTGAGTTTCAATATCGTATTAATCAACATACGTCTCCTATTGATGCAAAGCTGCAGTATTCGAATCGTGGTATAATCCAATCAACAATTAGCTCCGAAGCTATGTTGAAGCC